GGTAGAATATCATAGAGGGAAGCACAATGGACCAATACAGGTCTCAGTGCATGGGGAAACCCACCCTCTCCAGTAACTAACTAACTAACTAAGTAACTAACTAACTAACTAACTAACTATGTAAATCAGTGATGAATAAATGAACGAAATGGTGAATTGAGACCTGAATATAAAATTCTAGTCGAGAAAAGGGAGAGGAAGATTTCACTTGGAATTTGAAATCATAAATGGAGGATAATATTAAATTTAATCTGAAATAGAGCATTAAGGTTTGAGTCAGAGTCATATGGCTTAGAATAAGGCCCATTGGTGGGTCTTTTGAATACAATAATGAACTTAATAGTTTTGTACAAAGCAGGAAATTCCTTGACTATTTGAGCGACTGTCAGCTTCTGAAAATATCTCTACTTCATGGAGTGAGTTAGTTGGTTAGGTAGTTAGTTAGTTACAGACAGAAAGAAATCTAACAGCATTGTTCCGCAATTGAAACAAAATCGTGTGTGTGTGTGTTTGTGAGACATTTCTTGTTTCCCACTTTCTTCTGTGCTTAAAACGATTTTGAACGCAAGAACTTAATTAACATTTTAAGTGTGAGGGCTTTCTTCTCCCATCTACATCGGAGCATACAATAATATGGCCGGCTTGAGCTACAGAATAATTAAAGCTGATTTTTTGTAATTTCTTTCCAGCTGCTGTCTTCTTACTACATTTGAAAGAATCATCTACCGTTTTCATGATGTTTTCCATTCCAATTTCTTCTTTTCTTGCTCTTTTACCATCTTGCGGCCTGTTCCTCTCTGCAGATTGATTATACCGCACCCTATTCCCCCCTTATTCAAGAACTCATCTTAATGCAGTAACCTGCCAATATTTGACCAGGCGTTTCCATTTGAACGTTCACTGTTGGCATCCAGTTTTGGTAATCTTTGTGTCTCCTCCAAGAATCTTGAATGAGGAAAATTGCTTCACTCAGCAAAACTTCTCCCTCTTTTTTAGGGATTTAACCACAGAGAAAAGACACTAGCACTGTTCGTTGTTTTTAAAACGCTAATTACTCTTTGCCTAATTAATATTCAAGACCTTTCAGCGCCTCATGAGTTAAGTCTTGCATCCTATTGCTCCTCATTCCCACACCCAGTCTAATCCGATTCCAAGATATTGAATAGAAAAGAAGTGTGACTCGTTTAGGACCAAGAATGTTTTAAGCTCCCATTGAAAAGATAATTTTCCTACATTCTCCATAGTAAGCGAATTGGGTTACGAAATTCGGACATGGATAATATTTTCAGAGACACAATACACATTTGAAATCTCGGTATATGTCTATTAAGGTATTCTGTGCATAGTACTGGAACTCTTCACACTCCTAAAATGCATATTAAAACAAATAAATTGTGACTTGCATTAAAGAAAGTTTTTATTATTCTATATATTTTTATATGGCACTGTAGCTATTAGCCAATCATAGTGGCCGAGCGGTCTAAGGCATGAACTGTCTTCGCTTGCTCGAACGCTGGGATCATGGGTTCGAAACCCACTCAAGGCATGGATGTTTTTGTCCATTTATTCTGTATTTGTGTTCTGTGTGTAGGTAGCGACCTTGCAATGGGCTGATCCTCTGTCCAAGTAGTCCTACTTACTGTATATAGGATTAACAAAGTGAAAAAGCAGACAGAGCACAACAAAGGGTTGCAGAGCCATAGCTAGATAGGTAGCCATTAACACACCTTATTAAATTCAGACCATCCGAATTTGAGGCCAGGTGTGAAGGTCGCCTATCATGACTGAAGTTTTTGTTGTTTCCATCCGTACCAGCAAGAAACTAGTAGAAAAATACCTTAAAGTAGATCATGACACTTCCCCTTCATATCCTTTCTAATTTATTGCTGGGTGTCTAATCATACTGTCAGTCCATGTTATGTAACTTGCCAAATCGCAGAAATTCGTTAATTAAATCAGTGATCAAACAAAATAATCGACACTTCAATTGCTTTCATGTTGGAAGTGTCGATTTTCTACGCGACGAATTTAACATACTACAAACCGAGAATGTAATTCAAGCCAATATAAACACTAGCTCATAAGTACATGAATCAATATTAAGTACCTGGCCATGAGCAACAGCAGGAGGGAGGCAAGCTAGACATCTGCCCTTTTGTATCTTTTAAAAATCGGAATTTGAGAAAAGAAGAAATGTACCTAATAGTAATAATACCAATTGAAAATATGTTTTAAAATTAATAAAGATAGTCATAATCGACTTAGGTGTAAATGCGTAAGAAAAATTTTCCAGCTGTCCCCTATGAAAAACTGCCTACCCTACTCCTGGAAAACTCTTGCAGCACCCATGTACTTTGCAAGATGCGGCTGTAACTTTTTTCTTCACCTGATTGCCATGCAGATACTCAGGGAATCCAATATGTCATCAAGCGTACAGAATTCTTTCGCACATCCAGTACTTAATATTAACTGTTCTCAATATTACTGAAGAAAGTCTTTAAAAAGTCGAATAATTGGTTGTATCTTCTGGAGTAAATATGCAGCAAACTTATGATATTTCATCATAAACAGTCCATACCTCATGTTTATTTCCAAATGACAGCATACACGAAGTACACCTTAATTAATTACAACAACCAACCAGAAAATAACAGGAGACAAGCTTGATTCTGTTCACGGAATTAGCCAATCACCTTACTTTTTCTGTCCCTCTTAATTCCTATGTGCTATCGAGAAGCAAGGGCATACTCTCAGCACCTCTCATAGCCTTTTTGCTACCTCATCAAATTCCTCACCATCGCTCCCTGTAAACTTTCTCCCAAAAGGCCCCAAGTATGTCTCTGTCAGAAGAACAGAATCAATATTTCCTTCTGTCCCTTTCTTCGCCAACAGAAACCAGTTAGCTAGAGCACTATGCTTGTAGAACTGTGGCTATGCTGGGGTTCTGCGGGTAGTGGTAGCATAGTTGGTTGAGGCGCTATGTCACGAGCAGGAAGGTCGCAGGTTCGATTATCAATGTGTTTGAATTTTTTAATTGACCTATTCTTTACAGCCACTCTATGGCCCTGGGGTCGACACAGCCTCTAACAAAAATGAGTACCAGAAATTTCTTCCTGGGGTTAAAGGGCTGTTGGCACATAAGGCTAACATTCTTGCCGCCATGTGTGAGCTGATTTTGTAGAGAACATGGGAGTCTCAGCGTCTGACCACCCTGTGGGCCTCCACGGTCTGTTATAGGGTTAGCTTTACCTTTAACTGCTCTTATGGCCTATTATTTGAGGCCAATGTGGCACTGCTAAGCAACCTTAAACAACATTAATCGAGCCTTAGTGCTTTAAATTCATATGGAAGACCTTAAGAATTACTTGTTTCATGTGTTCTCCCTTCTGGAATATTCCAGTTTTAAATGGGCTACACAGTGTTATATCCCAGAAAGGGGAAGTCCTCATACACACTGGTGCGAGTTTCAGATCATACAGATTGGTCGAAGTTTTGCTGAGGTATCAAATGAATCGAATGTTTGTATTCAAGTTTATTCTGCTCCATAAGAATTTTAACTAATAAATTATTAAGGGGAAGAAAAGGACAGCGAATAATACTGCGATATATTTGTCTGCTATGCACTGACTATGGCGGCAAATGACAAAATGTGTGAAAATAATTTATGAATATAGTATGTAGTTCATCTTTTTCTCATAAACTAAAGTTGTGTGTTTAAAAGAAAATGTTTAGTATGAAACAAGACTGGAGAAAGAGAGTTGTTGTGCCTGTACTCTAGCGCAATACAGTTGTGCTCTCTGTTACTTCTTATGTAATTCAAATCGATAAGTTTCATTCCACATAGTAGACAACATTAAATTTCAATCAAAGATTTTAGGATCAAATTCTTTCAAAACTAATTTATTGTACCAGTTCAATCTGTATGCAGCACATATAATTTAATTTACTTTTTTAATTTATTTTCTTAATGCCAGCAAATACCTGTTCAGTTACCCCTAAGATAGCTGAAGTTTCTTTAAGCATGTAGCAGGTTCTGTGCTGTTGTAACAATCAGAATTAGAACGGAGAAAGGCCTGATTATAAAACACCTGGAGTAGTGCAAACATAACAGTGATTGATTACACTGTTAATATTGGCTGTCTTTTATAAGGACACGGCCAGACAGTCACGATGAAACTCATAGACCATGTTATATTGCCTAGAAACTCACTGGAGTTTTAGGGGAAAGAAGTGCTGCATAAACTCACCATTGGTTCATCTGCTTAAATATATAACTGATTTATCTTAGCATCATAGAATTCGAAATAATGGCCTTGCAGTATTTTTAAAAGCAACTGTTACAAATCCATCTACAAAGTTCTAAGTTAAGTTATTGGTTCTCTAATTTGATATGAAGAAGACCATTTCCCATCTAATCCTATAGAAAAGTTCACTAAGAACTTTATGAGAATTTGTAATCTTTTTGGTTTCTTCATCTTAGTAAATGCATGATAAAGAAATCTAATCAAATGTGGCACTAGAATGGTGTCAAGTTAAATTCCTTATTTCCTTACTAGTCCTGAGCACCAATTTGCTTCAGATGTGATAAATACAATTGATAAACATTATATTTGACAGACACCTCAACACAGAGCACACGTTAGATGACAGGTCCACTGCGCAAGCAAGAGTACAGATGCAAGTGGTATCTCAACTGGAACTTCAATTGCAGAAGGAGAGAGACCGACTGCAAGCCATGATGCATCATTTGCACATGTCCAAACAGCAAGCTTCTCCTGAACCTCCAAAATCAGAACCTACGGTGAGCCACTAAATACAAGTACTTTGAACCATGACTATAAGGCGACTGAAAGAAAAGTGCATTCTAGAAATGATAAAATATTTACGTGCAGTTTCACAGGTTTTCATCATAGCAGGTAGCCAGACAGAACGAGTTCATGACATTTGAATCCCAATAGCCATGATCTGAGGAGATGGCAGATACCGTGCTGTTCTGAATATGTTTTTAACTCCTGCTCTGCACAACTATATACACTGAAGCAAGAATTAATTGAACCCTTCTCCTTCCATTTCTTTATAATATGATTCAGAAATGCTCAGAATGAAAATACAGAGTGTATAAATTTCTTCCGTTTCCCAAAATATACCTTTGTGAAACTGGAGTTTTATGGTGACAGTGTCACAAAATTAAAATACANATACACTTTCTAAATTACGTTCAATGTCCATATCAGAGAAATTCAGGAATGAAAATGACGTTACATACGAGGTTGATGCATTTATGCATGTCATACTAAGCAAGGTATAAAAACAATTGCTTTATGAGGGATTAGTTCGTACCATTGAATATCTGACGCAATAGACAAGGTGTCGCAGAAACCGATGTTGCTATAA